CAAAGGTTGGATGTATCTAGTTACTATCGTACCGTATTGGCAAATATCGTGATTCTCCATGGGAAAAGTACTGCGTTATAATATATGATATAGTATTTTGGAGTTTTGTACAGGCGCGTTGGTGTCGCTATCTGGGGTATTAGCTCGGAGGTGTAGTTTAATTCCATAGAAATAATCATTGAGGAATGCTAGCAATAGCATCTGATGTAATCGTACCGACGTTCAAAACGTCTTAATTTGCTTGAAAACATAAGTTCGGATGAAAAGATTAGCAATATGAAAGTGGAACGTATGCGGCCCTTGTCCACTCCACCTCCTATATGTTCATCAAGTGTCCTTATTGAAATGATATAGAAAAATGACTGCTCTCGAGTCGATAGGATCGAAATTCCAATTGTTCTTTGGACACATATTCACATTCCATCGCAATTTTTTTTTATTTTTTTATATTTTTTTTTTATATATATATATATATAGAAACGTCCAATTTTACTGAACACCGTTTAAATAATATACGCACATTCTGAATATATATATTAATACTATATTTTTTTCCGCTATTTGTTTTCATTTTTCTCGTCTATCTATTTTAAAAAAAATATTTACCGTTAGATTGTCGAAATAAATTCTTAAGATATTCAATGCAACGTATCCAACAGACAACAGAATATATGCTCGCATTTCTAGATTTATGTATATATATATATATATATATATATATATATATATATAATTTTCATATACGCATCTATTTATCACGTGTAATAATGGATCTCAGCAGAATGATACGCGATCAGGTAAAACGACACTTATAAAGTATAATGTTTAATGTCTTTCTGTTTAATATAAGCTTCGCGCTTATACCTATATAATAAAATCGATACAAGATTTCAATTTTAGTTATAAGGAAACATTTTAAATTTGGATAATCATTTAATTCATTCTATCTGTAACATGGTTGCAATAGAAAGCTATATGCATTGATTGTTAAATTATATGTTCATTTTTTAATATTGCAATGAACGCGATAACGATATCCATACCCTTATATAAAGCAATATCGACTACTGCTAGAATGAACAGTGTAAGTATAATCGATGGGTTTTTCAACTTCGCATTCTTCGGTCACGGTTACGTTACTGTATTACTTGTATGGCATTCGCTTACATATTTATGTTTGAAATTAGGTTTTCAATATACATGAGACATATACATAGGTACATACACACATTGTTGATATATTTCACGTTGGAAGATATATTCTTGCCATCACTGTGTGTGCATACTATATACTATCAGTGTAGTATAAGCTTTAAATAAGCCACTATAAGTTTCGTTTTATATGAGTGATCATAATTTACTTTTTTTTTTTATATTTTTTTTTTTTTTATTTTACAATGCATAATATATGGTTTCAAAATATTTGATTAACAATTTTTATTAAAGACAATAAATATAATAAAGAAATAAAACAATATCGTGTTAAAACATAGGCTTATTTACAATTCTTCATAGGGAAGGAATTAATTAATTTCTGCCTTTCATCTTTTTGACCTCTGAAAATGTTCCCATATAATTATGATACAGTTTACACTACGAGATCGGTGGCTAGTTACCAAATACCCCGTTCAGCCACGATTATTTAACGTTCGCTATTGCCAATAGCGGATTGCTTTTATGATATCTCTCTAAAGGAAAATTGTCGATATAAATTTACCCATTGTTCTCGGAAGGGACCTTTGTACCTCTGTTATTTAGTAGTTTTTTAAAAAAATTGCAATTCTTCGACGATTTTCATAAGCATTTTCCATACTACCAGGGCAACGAAATGGTATCACACAAACATCGATACAAACGAATTATTACTGAAACTGAGCTCCATGACATGTGCCATGTGCCACATATTCTCCTAGTCCGGAACAGAAACAACGATAGAAAATGAAATTGGGAAGAATCCACCTTCATAGTTTCTTCTTCACTCCAAATTCATGCTAGCGTAAGCTGCTCTCTGTACTAATAAAACAAAAAATTCGAATTGCGTGAAAATATACAAAAACTGAAATGTTATAGTCCAGTGGAGATCTGTCCTGTCGTAAAATAATTTCATCAATGTTTTAACAAATAGTAGAGATTAGCCGATAGCCTTAGATGCTAGTGCTTTTAAGAGTTTAGTCTTAGTTTAGTCTTTCTCTGGCGAAATTAATAATAATAATAATAATAATAATAGTAGAGATTATGCCGGCTATTGCCTGTCTAAATTGATTTCAATGAAAACTATTACTTTATATGATTTTGTGTGTCCATCTGGATACGTACGTGATATTATTTGAACTGAACTTTTTCTCAACTTAAGTTTTTAATGTGCTTGCTTAAGGTATAACTCGGAAAGTATTTTTAAATACGGAAATGTTTCTACCATTTTTTTAATAGGAGATAAACTTAAAATATAATAGGAAATGGAAGTGGAAAAGAATACCCTGAACGAATATCAAAGAGCATAACTACTTTTTCCCGCCAACGTGTTGCATTAATGTGGACACGTTTTCCTTCTTCCCTTTTTTTTGTCAATGCTGATACGTATCTAAGTTAAACGTTTTCTTTTTCTTCTCATCATTTAGTAATTCCTCGTCGTCGGTCCGTTGATAATACTACACTATTGCCGCCATCCATTCCATCAATCCATTGGCATGTTAAACTTACGTATGATTGAATATTTGCGTGAGACAAATATACTAATACACATATATATTTTTTGGGCCGAAGGGAGCAGGGTGGGTATTCAAGGGCTCCAGCGCCACATAGGATCCCCGCTCGATAGGTTAAGGTTTCGTCTGCCCGCATATTCGATAAGGAGCACGTACGTGCAATTTCTTTTGGCGCTAACCGTCGTAGTAGTGTCCGTGAGCAAAAATATGCTACTTCTTCCCGGACTAGCTAGCTTAGCTATGGCACGTACGCATGACTCGAAGGCCTCCATTTCTCTTATAGTGGCACTACAAGCTTGCCTTCAGATTTGTTTGGACAACAGTTTTTAGATATAAGAGGACATTGATAGACTATCTACTACATTGGTTAAATAAAATTGATGTAATGGTGTGATTACATAAAATTAAGTCTAATAGACATACGCACGCCTGGTTACACGAAAAGTTGCTCATCAACAAGGGGACACAATATCAACGTAGGGGCACATACTATTGTTACATATAAAAGTAATTATATGTCCAAAAAGTAAGACTAATTTAATTTTCTCGTTTTTAAATCTATTTTATCGCCCTCAAAGTAATCTTCAAACTCAAATAATATTCATTGTTAACAGTTTAGCCTGACGGAAGATGTTCATAATGCACGACGAGTCCACGATAGTCGAAGAAAACCGTTAACATCACATTGATTATTAAGTGACTTTGGCGGGATTTATTCAGTCTTGGCTCAATTATTGCACGATATTCCCGGATCGTATACATAGATCCAAGGTGCCATCGCATTTCATTGCGCAAACGAAATTTAATGCAATTTCTTTGCTTAGTTCGTGAAATCCTAATGACTTTTGACATAAATGTCTAGCGCACAGTGTTACCAGTTTTGAATAAAAAAAATATTCTTTATATTCGATAAATCGGCGCAACATAACTTGTATATTGGTCTTACTTTTTGTTCCACAGTATCATGTTGTACTTTTGCAATATGATCTCCACATGTACGACATATAGCACGTTTTGATATCAGCGAGGGCTGTTATTAATATTTTCCATGAAAAATGAATTGAGTTGATTATTTTACGAATTGTGTGAGAGTGTGAAAATTGAAAGAAACAAGCGGAGCTGTGTTTAATGTCACATTTGGATTATCGCCGTTTTTACAACACAGACGGCGAGAATATAGTTTAACGTTTCGTTCAAGATTAGAGTAGAAAAGGCATTTTATAAAACAATAATAACTTTTTTTTTTTTATTTTGTTTTTTTTAATGATAAAAGTGCATATTCGTAACGATATGCAATATATAGACACACTTTTAGATTTATAATATACATGCGTGTGTATACACATGATTGAACCCGCTTGCTTTAGAGATAAATTTTTAAGATTAAATGCACTCCTCGGACCGAGGGATGAGTAAGGGGGGGGGGGGGGGGGGGGGGGTAATTGTGAAATTTTTTTAAAGTTTTTTTT